AATTATCTTATTTATTGTTAAAAACATCCCAGCGCATATACATGCAGTAATGTATTCCTGACTCTCAGTAACAATTTTTCCCCTCTAGGCATTTATTCCATTCAATATATTTCTAGAAATACATTTAAAATTAATTTCAGAACCAGTTTTGAAAATCATAAAAAAGACATTGATTCACCTTTGCACTTCATTTTGGACGCTAAATTGTATGACTCAGCATAACTACTCACCATAGTCACTGGAGTTGGGTCTGATAGACTTTTGATTGTTTCTAAAGCTCTAGTCCATTCACAAAGCACAACAGTTTGCATATTTTTTTAATGATGCCAGAGGACACCAAACTGCATACAGCCTATGGCTGTAACTATTTTAAAATGTGCATTGTGAAAAGGACTAGACACATATTAAAATGATCAGAGTGGTTCAAATATAATGATAAAAGTATTCCTCACTCCGTTTTTACCCTCATCTTCTCAATTTTGGTAATGTAGTCTCAGAGGGGCGTAGGTATTATAAAAGAAATTTAATTAAAAATAAGAAATGGTATAGAGCCTTAAATGATAGAATTCATATTCTATAATTTTGAGCAAAAATTTTAAAAATAGATGAGACCTTAAAGATTGTATAGTCTGACCCTCCACTTCACAGAGGGCAAAATATGAGGCTTATCTAAATAACTTAAGTCTCATATCAAGTTACTGGCAGGGCTGAATCCTGGTCTCGGTTTTAGTTTAATATTCTTCCTACTATATAATATTTCCAGAAGGCGATTTTCAAAAACCATTATTAACTTTCTAACATGGCATCACAGAACACACTTAAGAAAAAGTCTGATGAATTTCAATAATCAGCACATTATCAGGAAGTTGTGTTTTATATAAACAACATGTTGATACCTAAACCTCTAAAGAAAACTGAAGTTGAACATTTCTACTATATCTTCTAGGATATGTGATTATTCCTTTAGAGTGTTAGAGGAAAAAAGGAATAATAGCTATGGGAGGTAAAAAATAGAAAAAATTTATCTTTAGTAATAAACTATAGAGGAAAGAAATTTTACCCAAAAGATCAGAGAAGACAAAGCAATCTATTCTAAAGTTCAAAGGTATAAAACATTTTATAAAATATTCTTAGAACGTTAAGAAATAATTTGTCAAAATATCTTTAAGTTTTATATATCCTTCTACACAAAATCTTTCCTTTCACAATTTGAGTGCAGTGAATAGGAACAAGCTTTATTCGTACTGCCTTATGTGACTGAAACCTTTCTAAAGGACCACCTATTTTCCTACTTGCAACAGCCCAATAAATCACCTTCTCTGTCTCTTGAGACTGAATTTTCTAATGAAGCATTCTTCAGCTAGTGCTAAATGAAGACAGCTCAGTATTCAGCTGTACTGTTTGGACAGTTACTTTAAGATAAGGCATTCTGTTCTTTTTCAATTTCTTCCACATTATTATCTAGCACTGATTTGATTTGGGAAGACAATTCATGATAATATCCAGCAGCACTAAATTTATAAATTCTCTAGAATGTGCTAGAAAACTTCCTAAGTATTCTTGGCTCTAAGTAACTATTTTTTTGACCAGGAAATAATTGAATGAGGGTGATTATGGTGCCAGTGCCACAAAGTGTAAACAAAAAAGATTCAGTTCTTATATTGGGTTTCTGTGGCAAAAGAAAAGCAATATTGGGCTTAGAATCAACAGGCTCAGTGTTTATGCCCTAACTCTCAACATTTAAGACCCTTGCAATCCATGTGATACTATTTTACCTCCTGGGCCTGTTTATCTATAAAATGGAACATCAACACTCATATCTCAGGATAGTTGATATTAAATTATGTATATGGGAGTGTGTTGTATACCATGAATGTATTATTTACTTCATTTTTAAAATGAAAAAAGTTAATTACAGAGCCATCTGCTTTATCCTTTTGTTCTGTTTTAAATATTATGACCAGTTGTACTCATCAGAATTGTAATAAGAATATAGCATATACGTGTGTCTATATATACATACATAGTGAGTGATTAGAGTATACATATGCTTGTATATGTATGTATACATATATATGTAATCACTCTAATCAGGAAAAGAAATGCTAGAAAATATTCTATGGTTTGGATATTTGTCCACTGCAAACCTCATGTTGAAATCTGATCCCAAATGTTGGAGATGGGGAGTAATGGGAGGTGTTTAGATCATGGAGGTTACCACCTAGGGGGTGAATTCTCCCTCTTTAGTTCCTTTAGAGAGCTGGCTGTTTAAAAGAGCCTGGCACTACCCACCTGTCTGTCTTGCTTCCTCTCTCACCATGTGATCTCTGCTCATACCAGCTCCCCTTTATCTTCCATGAGTGCAAGCCACCTGAGACTCTCACCAGATGCCCAATCTTGAACTTTTCCAGACAGAAGAATCACGAGCCAAGTAAACCTTTTTTTCTTTATAAACTACCCAGCCTCAGGTATTCCTTTATGCAACACAAAATGGACTAGGATACAATGTAAACTACACAAACCATTTATTTCTCACCTCACTAGTCACTGCAGATAGATGTTCAGCAAGCGACAAGACCAAAGGCAAATAGATTAGAGGGCCTGGCCTAAATCATTCTAACTACCGCAAGAGAACTTTTCACAATGGTTTTGCAGGTGTCAAACAGCTCCGATTAGGGCTGTTTGGATCTCTCAGACCAAATTACCCCACGGGATAAAATTAATCACTGGAGCTGGCATCATCAGCAGACAATATGTGGATGACAGATTTCCAGGTACTTCCCACATCTTTCAAAATGAAAGCCAAAGTCCTTACTGGAATCCACAAAGCCTTACATGATCTGCCTATTGCCTCTAATCTCATCACCTACTGCTTTCCCCGGACACTCTCCATTCTAGACATGCAGGTCCTCTGTATCTCCACCACACAGGCTAGCCTCTACCTCAGAACCTTTGCAGTCATTTATTCTGCATAGAATATTTTTAGCCCAGATATACAAGTGACTAGCTCCTCGCTTCAAAGTCTTTAGTTATTTTCTCAGTTAAGTCCTTTCTGGTTATCCAATCTAAAATTTCAGTCCTTCCTCTCTGACATTTTTCTCTTTCTCCCCTCCCTGCCTTTACTCCTTGCAACTTATTTCTAACACCATGCCGATTTTCCTTATCTTATCTGTTTCGCCTTACTAAAAGTAAAGCTCTGTGAGAGCAGGAGTATTTGTCTGTTTTGTCCACTGCCGTATTACTAGCACATTAAAAAAGCATCTGGCATATAGTACTCAATAAATGTAATAAATAAATGAACCACCATATGACTTAACTATCACCCCAAACCTAGTGGCTAAAAACAATTACTTCTCACGGTTTGGGGGGTTTACTGAGTTCAGCTAGGTGGTTCTTGCCAAGGATCTCTCATGCAGGTATAGTCAGAGAATGGAGCTAGAATCATCTGAGAGCTCACTCTTCCATATGTCTAGTGCCTAGGCTGGGCAGTTTCAAAATGTGGGGACTGAAACAGCAGCAATACCTTAGGCATCGCTATTTCTATAAGGGCTTTTCATGAGGTCACTCCAGTATGGAGGTTTCAACAAAGTAGCAGGACTTATGTCATAGCTTAGGGGAAATGTCCCAAGTGATTACACCAAGGAAGCTGTATCACCTTTTATGTCCTAGCCTCAAAAATATTATGACTCTGCCATAGCTGTACACTAATAGTCAAATCAGTCACAAAGGCTCATTCAGGTTCAGGAGGAGGAGACTACTTTTTTGTTGTTGTTTATAGGGGATTTAGCGTTCTCGAAAACTATGTGGAGCAGAAAAATATTGTAACTATTGTTGTAATATACAATCTGCCACACCAAGAAACAAAAAAGGAATCAGTAAGTTCAAGTGCAGTCCCAGCAGACTAGAGAACAAAGTCAACCTGAGTGCAGGCAACAATAAGAAGGAAATACTGATCACCTGTGACAAGGACTCAAGCACACCAGAGTTTGAGGGTCTGGGAAGACTGAAGCCTCAAAATCCAATAGGTATAGTAAATGACAATAAACATCAACAGAGTTGCCATCAAGTCTTGAAAACCCAAATTCTAGTTCTGACTTGGATACTAATTTTGTGACCTAGGGTAGGTAATTTAATGTAGGGCATGCTACTTCTATTGGCTGGTTTGTAATTTATCAGTAAAGCCTGGTTGGAGGTTTCTTATGCAAACCTACCTCAGCCTTCCCAAAGGCTGTTCTGTTCCTTCCTATGGTACGTCAATATTGGCCCTAAAATCGAAAGGGCCAAAAGTTTTTTTTTTTTAATTGCATTTTAGGTTTTGGGGTACATGTGAAGAACATGCAAGATTGTTGCATAGGTACACACGTGGCAGTGTGATTTGCTGCCTTCCTCCCCTTCACCTATATCTGGCATTTCTCCCCATGCTATCTCTCCCCAACTCCCCACCCCACGCTGTCCCTCCCCTGTTTGCCCCCAACAGACCCCAGTGTGTAGTGCTCCCCTCCCTGTGTCCATGTGTTCTCATTGTTCAACACCCGCCTATGAGTGAGAACATGCAGTGTTTGATTTTCAGCTCTTGTGTCAGTTTGCTGAGATTGATGGTTTCCAGGTTCAGCCTTGTCCCTACAAAGGACACGAACTCATCGTTTTTGATGGCTGCATAATATTCCATGGTGTATATGTGCCACATTTTCCCTGTCAATCAATAGGCATTTGGGCTGGTTCCAGGTCTTTGCTATTGTAAACAGTGCTGCAATGAACATTTGTGTGCATGTGTCCTTATAGTAGAACGATTTATAATCCTTTGGATATATTCCCAGTAATGGGATTGCTGGGTCAAATGGAATTTCTATTTCTAGGTCCTTGAGGAATCAAATACTCCCATCTTGTCAGTCACTTAAGTTTATGAACTTGCATGCTTGTAAGTCTGGAGGATAGTCACAAACTATTTCTATAGTATTTCAGTATTTTCTTACATTCCTAGAGAAAAATTTTTATATGGATATATGGATGGCACAGCAGAAGGAAACAATTTTGGAAGTGCAAGTCTTCAAGAAGCAGCATATTATGATAAACCCCTCCTACAGAAAGGTATCATTTTTATCACTGATACCACAGGATAAATTATATATTATGCCATCTTCAAGTAACAGTTGAGGCAATAGAATAAATGCAGAGGCATTACGATGAATCCCACTTAATACAAGAACTACACAGACCAACACTTCTCTACAGTTTTTTTTTTTCTTATTGCCAGTTAAATACAGTTTTACTTTCATAGCTTAACAATGAAGGGTCATACACTGAAGCCAATACATACACCTAGCATTTCAGTCTAATGTTGTCCACATACATAGCTGAAGTCAATTACAAGGTTTGGTCTAGCAATGCTAGGGGAACTTCTTTGTAAAGTAGTTTTTACAGGTATTAAACTTCATTTTGCACACTGAAGTCATCATACATGCAGGGCAAAGTCAGAGCTTTTATATTTGCCTTTATTCTTCATTTAACTTTTTAAAACAATACTATAGTTGATTAAAACAAAAACAAGAGGAAGTACTGTGCATATTATGATTACAGTGCTTACTCATTCACTACTGCACATAAAATGCCAGCAGTGAGTGTTATTCACTGGCCCATTAAGAGGTCTGACACTGAACACCATCTCTGGGATGATGTTCATCATCCTCATATGCTTCTCCATTGTAATGGCGCCGTCTTTCCTGATTTGGATCAAAGTCCACCAGTTCTACTTGATCCATCTCATCAGTCTCTTCCACTTCCTTCCTCTCCGGTAGGAGTTTTTCCAGCAAAGACAGTTTATCAGGAGAGAGAAAGCCATTCTCAGGAAAGTTTACCTTAAATTCGATGATTAGGCGACCCTTTTCAAATGGTCTATGATAAATTGGCATGCCTTCATTTAGTACACACTTGATATCTCCATGCTTGACAATCTGACCTGGATGAGAGGTGATGACTATGGTTCGGTTGTCAAGAGTAGATAGCGGCTTTTGGAAGCCACACAGTGCTTCAACGAGCTGTACGTCCATACACATGAAAAGGTCCTCTCCTCGTCGAGTAAAAACAGCATGCTCCTTCTAACTCGATGATTATATCTCCTGGCTCCAGTCCTGGTTCTTGGTCTCCTTCACCATGGAATGTTATCTTCTGGCCATCTTTCATGCCTTTGTCAATATGAACTTCTAGAATCTTCTTCTCTCGAACGATCTTCCTTCCATTGCAGCTTTTACATCTATCTTTAGGACTGATCCGCTCCCCATGGCCCTGGCACTCCATGCACACAGACTGACTTTGCTGAACCATTCCAGGTCCTATCTGATGAATTCTTATTTGCATTCCAGTACCTCGGCAATTGGGACAGCACTCTACTGCTCCTTACTTACCTCCTCTACCTTCGCATTTGTCACAAATCACATTCTTCTGCAGAGCCAGTTTTCTTGTTGCACCATTATATAAGTCTTCTAGGGTTACTGAGAGCTGATGTACAGCATTTTTACCTCTCCTTCCTCTCTGCATCCTTCCTCCTCCTCCAAAAAACATACCAAAGATGTCCACGGGTGAGCCAAAACCGCCTCCTGCTCCACCCTCTTTAATTGCCTGTTCTCCTCCTTTGTCATATGATTCCCTTTTCTTTGCATCAGAGAGAACTTTGTAAGCTTGAGAAATCTGTTTAAACTTCTCTCCTTCATTTGGATTCTTATCAGGGTGGTACTTCAAGGCCAGTTTCCTATAAGCCTTTTTCAATTCTTCCTGAGTAGCATTGGGTTTGACTCCCAAAACATCGTAGTAAGTGGTTTCTTTCACCATCTTCTACTGCCGGTGAGCGGGCTGAGGTCGGTGTGTGAAGGACAGGGAAGGAGCGCAGAGCTGTGCGCAGCTCGGACAGCTACCGCTCCTCCGCCTCTCACCGAGCGTTTTGGAAAGTTCCTCGAAAATTTTTAATAGATCCATGTTTTAAATCAAGAGGTTACACAATATTAAATCTAGTTAAGTAATTTTCACTCATTTGTAACTAGACAAAGTTGAAACTGCAAATTTTTTTAGAATATCCATGTTTTCTTGTGACTATAAGCCAAATTCAGCTACATTAAAATCATCAAATATTCCCTGTGTGGCAACTGAAAAACCCCAGCCAAAGCCTCCCATATTCTGAGTATTTTACACAAAGTTCCCATACCACAAAATTTGAATAGACAGTTGAAATGACAGATTTGTGTAAATTTGTGAACAAGCTCAGTTCAACTTCATTATAGATCTAAAAAACTTTTTTCTTCTTTCAGTTGGGTTACAATTTCCAAATTACTTTAATTTTCAAAGCCATGCTGTTGCTATTCACCTAAAAGCCCTCCAGCTAGAAAAGAGGCTTTTCTGATTCCAAATAACCCTACATTTTGCACTTCCTTTAGTCTCGGCCTTCTCACCCTATCTATAGAAGTATTCGGTAATGAATTCATAAAGAAGCAAAACACTGCAACTATTAATCTGTATAAAGTTTAAGTAAATATTAGTGGTTTTATGTGAAGCTGTAGCTCTGAGTATCTATTGTGTTTAGTTGTAAAGACTACTCTTTTACTTTATTAGGCATAACAATCATTTTATTTATGTTTAGCCCTCGGATTGTCTCAGGATGTTGCAGGCGCAACTTTCATGGCAGCGGGTAGTTCAGCTCCTGAATTAGTTACTGCTTTCCTAGGTAAATATTGCTTCTTATACTTTTTGTTGACACAGTGTGATTTTATTTTCTTCAAGCTAACACTAACTCGGCTGCTACTATCTTGCGCATAGGTGTATTTATTACAAAGGGAGATATTGGCATTAGCACCATTCTTGGATCTGCAATTTATAATCTCCTTGGCATCTGTGCAGCCTGTGGCTTGCTATCTAATATGGTATGTAGCAAAACCATTCAACAATATTTATTGTCTTAAAAATTCTAAAGATAACTCTTTGTAGTCTGGGATGGACAACAGGGCACTAATAATATGTGCAATCAAATTTATTAATCAGTAGAAAAACAACATGTATTCAATTTAAAGTTAATCCACAAATAGCCCATGGTTAGATTTATGAAATTCTGTGTAAGTTTGAACACAATTTCTGTTTATTTTTATCTGAGCAATATGTAAAAGATAACAATATTTACAAACATACAAACAATTTTAGTATTATACTAAGGATTGTACTTGAAGTTACAATGTAATGGAAATAATAACTTATCATTTTACAGGTCTCAACACTATCATGTTGGCCCCTATTCAGAGACTGTGCAGCATACGCAATTAGTGTAGCAGCAGTTCTTGGTATAATATATGACAACCAAGTTTACTGGTAAGCTTCAAAATTATTCTTACATAAAAATTACAGAGATTTTATGAAATTCTAATGCTTTAGTAACATTTTTTTCAGAAGTCTTATTTCAGTCCCTTCATCTCCCACTTCCACACCATATTCCAACAGGTCTGTGAGTTAACGTCATCACAATTGCTGATTCAGTTCTCACTAGTTCGCAGTTTCTTTTTAGTCACTTCACAGTCTCCTTTTTCCTCTCACCAGTGACTGGAGACCACCACTTTTCCTTCTCCCCACTGGCTGCCTAGTCAGAAAGTTTCCCAACTTTTGTTGTCCACTAAAGCCACAACCATTAAGTTTTTTTTCTGCTGGGTTACTGCTTACCTTGCCTTGGTTAGAAGTGGTCATGGTCACAAAAGACTGGAGAAGGATGGTAGAGCATGTAAATGAAGTCATTTAAAATTACTCCAAATTTCTGATGCTCATTCAGGAGAAACTACAGACTTCTTCTAAAAGCTAACAATGCTCAGCTTTCAATATTAAAAATTGTTTGCGTTCTCTATGATCTCTCTGTGACTAGCTGGTCCAAGAAAATGAAAAAGGGGGTGACTGAGTAGACAAATACAAACTTTTTCAACTAGTAAGCAGCAGGCGCCTACTAGGTGCTAGATATAAGGGAAAATGAAATGTAAAACACAGCTACACAGGTTAAACATTGCATAGCTTCCAGAGGACACTGGATAAATAGAAAAAAATGTGGCCGGACACGGTGGCTTATGTCTATAATCCCAGCACTTTGGGAGGCCAAGGTGAGCAGATCACGAGGTCAGGAGTTTGAGACCAGCCTGCCCAACATGGTGAAACCTCGTCTCTACTAAAAACACACACAAGAAACTAGCCGGGTGTGGTGGCACACACCTGTAATCCCAGCTACTTGGAAGGCTGAGGCAGGAGGATCCCCTGAACCCGGGAAGTGGAGGTTGCAGTGAGCCAAGATTGCACCATTGCACTCCACCCTAGGTGACAGGGCGAGACTCTGTCTCAAAAAAAAAAAAAGTAAATGGTGCCCAACTGGAGAACCACAACTTTGCAGCACTGCATAAAACCTGCTATCAAGAAACTTAAAACCCAGCCAGAAGCATAATTTCTAAACTAATCATCTTGTCATCTAGTCCGTCTCCCTAAGACAGTCCGTGTTGGTAGAGTAGAAATCCTTCTAGAATTCAGTAGTCATCTGTAAGGGACAGTGACTGTGAGAGTACCCAAGCTAATGCTCCCTCAATTAGGGAAATCAGAACTGCTCCTTAAGATGTAGCAGAGATTTCCTGGCTATAAAATAAAAGGTAAATGCAAGGTTCAAATGTGATGGCTTTTGTTAATTGCCAGAGTACAGAGAAACAGTTCTTGGTTCCCAAGGTATAATTTTATATTTTAGAACACCTTGTTTTCTTGTGACTGTAAACCAACTTCACCTACATTAAAATCATTAAAAATGCTCTGTATAGCAAACTGAAAAATCTCAGCTAAAGTCTCCCATATTCTGAATAATATTTTACACAAAGCTCCTATACCAGAAAAGTTGGATAGTTGAAATGACTTAAAGTATTTGTGCCAATGAGCTGAGGTAGAAAATGTTCACCACTATTCACTAATTTTACACTTATTTTGAAAATCTCCAATTATCATTTTCATTGCATTTTATACCTACCATTTGAAAGGTATCTACAAGTAAAAACAATGAGTTTGTTGATCTCGTGGTGGTTTTTGTTTTTTTTTTTTTTAACATAGAAGTGTCCAGTTTTTATCAGTAAACTTACAATAATGCTGTAACCAAGTCTGGACAAATCTACAAAAAAAATATCTAGAAATAATACTGTAATTAAGTTTGGACAAATCTACAAAAAAAATCTAGAAATGTTTTATTGTTCTGTGGCTACTTTTGTTAGAAAATCATTCAATAGATACTGCTCAAAAGCTATCAGCACCAAAATGACTTTCATTTTTAATTTAAAAACACAAATTTCTCTTCTTTAATTTATAGGTATGAAGGAACTTTACTGCTTTTGATATATGGATTATATGTTTTGGTGCTGTGTTTTGACATTAAAATTAACCAATATATTATAAAGAAATGCAGTCCTTGCTGCACCTGTCTTGCCAAAGCTATGGAGAGAAGTGAACAACAGCCACTGATGGGATGGGAAGATGAAAGTCAACCATTCATTCGTTGGCAATCAAGAACTGATAGTGGAATATTTTATGAAGACTCTGGCTACTCTCAGCTCTCTCTAAGTTTACATGGTCTTAGTCAAGTTTCTGAAGGTAATCACTAAATCCTGCCCATTATTAAGACTATTCACAAAAGCAGCACTTTAAAATTTCAATTCAGCAGGTATTGTGTAAGACTGTGAAGACTCAGAAATGATAAAGACTAAGTCGCTACTCTTAAGGAACTTCCAAAATCATAGGAAATACAAAATAGTTAAAATATGAACGTGTAAGTAGCATTAAAAAATAAAGTGTGACTGTGGTTCACAAATGGGACAGATTATCAAAATGTGGTGAGGACAGTTAGGAAATTTTCACAGAGAAGGGGGCATTTAAATTGGGCCTTGCTGGACCAGTAAGATTTTGACTAATGACATGATGTTACGACCAGTAAATAACAGCTACTGATGCAGAGATAAGAGTAAAGCACATACAGCACAGTACATGTATAGTAAGGAAACAGAGGGAAGGTAGAAAGAAAGACATAGGATGAGAAGAATCTTAAATGCTATTGTAAGAATATTGGAAGGTTTGTGAGGAAAGAAATTATCAGAACTGTTATCTTAGTAATGTTACCCTGAGTGATGTTCATATTCAGTGAACTAAAATATGAAGTAAGAGACAAGGAGGTGTGTAAGAGGCTATTACAACAGCTGATATGTTTACTAGGTGCCTAGACCAAGTGAAAGTGGTAGGAATAAAAGAGAACAGATGTGAGACTATATGAAGGAAGCTTCACCAAGACTTAGCAACTGAGACTATATGGGTCCAGAAAAAGGAACCAAGATAGCTCCTACATTCGAATCTTGACTAAGAAAATGAGAACACCGCTTATTAAAACTGGGAACTCAGGAAAAGGGGCTGGTTTGGAAGAATGAAGAAAAACAGTTGAGGTTTACTGTTTAAAGCTCTAGCAAAACATTTAGGTAAATATGTTCATTAGGAAGTCAAATTCAGCTATGATCAGAATTATAAGTTCATAGGTTACTATTTTATAAAGTGGTTGTCTAAAACAGATTCTAATTTTAATCAAGCCTTTAGGAGGGTGGCTTATTCTAATTTACTACTTAAAAAATTGAAATGACTTTTCCCCCTTCTTATAAAAATTTTAGCTTCTGCTCTTTCAGGTATAACATATGTGCATCTCTAAATTAAGTTTTTAATAAGAAACGCAAAGGAACCAATCCAAACTCTTTGATATGTTAAAATTATATCTAATATTACTTAATGGCACATTGGTTGAAGTTTGGCAAGCTTTTTAAGAGTTACTGTACTAGCATTAGTTTTAACATGATTTGATCCAATTTGTAAATGCCATACAAATTTTAAACAATTTTATTTTTTTTAACAATTTTAAATTAAATTCCCATTTTTATCC